CACACAAATCTTCAAGTTTTTCATACAGGAATTAGAGAAAACTTTACCAAAAGTCTGCAAGAGTACAGCCGATCAGGCTCATCTTCGAACTCGACCGAGGCATTTACAAGATAATGCTATGTATCAAATTTCATGAAAATTGGATTATTCTTTCAGGAGTTATCGGATTAACGGCTGGACGGACATACTGACCGATTCTATAGTGTACTCACTTTTTGAGTGCACAAAAAATAGAAGAAGGAAGAAAAGGAGAAGCATTAAGCAGCTGGTCTCATAGAAAATAGTGACAGTGTGCTTCTTAGCTAACGAAAACAATACTTCAAAGCTAAAACAGTTTTATATGGAAAAATTTTTCATCCGTTTTCCTCTGATATCCTTTGTTCTATACATCAAACTTTCAAAATCAGGAAAAACACATGACGCACTTTAGATAAATATGTCTGAATAAACCAACAAGACCTTCTGAATCTAATTTTGCTTCAGATAAAAATAAAATAATATTTTCTGTCATAAGCACGGCCTCCCTTCTGTCTCTTCCTCTTCGCTTGATTACGTCACCCGTAGTATGTTTGGTTTGGTTTTCGCGAGTACTAAAGGAGGTGAGAAAGAGTTTTAACCCTTTCAGTTCCGGCTTTTTTGCGAAAATCGAATTTTTTTTTAATGACATTTCTAAAGATGGTTTTTATTTCTTCAAAAAAAATTACATATTTGTCTCAAGCAGTCATTAATAGTTCATCTTTGTATGGTAGTCTTTGAACCAATCAACGATACACCGAAGTACATCGCAATCGGGACAGATATATCGTATATCACTATGAATATTTTGTGATACAGAAGCAACGCATTTTCTTCGAGGCTGGTTTGATTGTGATGTTTGTGGAATAAGTGCCAGAAAATGTCGACCAGTTAGACGAAGAGAAGAACCTCCTGTTGATGGTCTCTCAATCATAGTTGATCTTTGTGGTTCATACTTCGTCTGATTACTACAAGTCGAAAATCAGATAGATCAGAGGAGATATTGTTCTGCATTTTGTGAATAATAAATGCATTATATACTGCCATATACAAAACATGGAAAAATAGCTTCTTATACCATTTTAGTGACTGTATTGGAATGTACTAGAATGAGAGATACTGTGTATTAGCATACAGAGCGAAAGAAAGCGCATAGAATATAAATATGTATTATTAATAAGCAGAAAGGGAAGAAGTGAGGATCACTATAGAACTCTAGAGTCGTACCATTAAATAAAACGAGTGAGAGGCATTATAAACAATTAAAAACTATCTCAGGAGTATCTTTGTCAAATAATTGCATTTGAACGCATATATGCGTCGCCGGGACTCAAAGGGTTAAAAAAGGTAGACAAGAAACACGTAATCAATGCAATCTATTTCTTAACATATTGCACAAATAAAGTAATAAAATCAAGGTTTTCTCTCACGCCATATATATTTATCCTTCCACATTGCTGGCAGAAAATTTCAACCATCATTTTTTGTTTGTTCTCATTTATATGACACAATCATAATGGATCAATTGCGAAACATCTCTCGATATTTGTCGAAATTAAATGTATATGAAAATGAAGAAACCAGTGATGAGCATAAGAGAAGAAATGAATTTCTCTCAACTAGAATTTATTTTATCATTCTTCTCATCATATTATCATTGTATATTACATATATTTCATCGTCAAGTCAAATGAATATTTTAACAATTACAAAACCAACACAACAACAATATGAAAAATTAAAATTAAAATATTCCATTAGTTTAAAATGTCCCTGTAAAGAAATATCAATTCCATATAAACAGTTTATTAATATCCAAGTCGAATATTATGAAATTTGTTTATCTGATTTTACCAAACAAAAATGGATTGATTATCTTTTCAATGAAAAAATTAAATATTATCATCCATTTGATTTTCGTCGCGTTGCACCATTCAAATTTCAATTACTTCGAACACTATGTCAACAATCGAAACAATTCATTGATGATAATCTTGAAGAATTTTATTCAAATCATTTGATTTCAAAGGAACCTATCTCAATAGATGAATTTCATATTCAAGTGAATTTTTTTATTAAATCATTTCAACAAACAACACGTTATCTATTAGAGAACTTAGTCACGCTAATTGAAGACACAATATGTGTAAACTTTTTATTAACAGCAGTCGATAAACATTTTATTTACAAAGCCAGTGAGCAATTTATACTTATGGGTTCTCAACACATTTGTTATTACGATACCGAAGAGAAGAAAGGAAAATCTACCAGATGCACTTGTAAAAGTAAAGGAAACACAAAGTTCCCTGAAGGTATTTACGATGCTATAGAATGGTTTGAATATCCTTCGTGTCTTGCATTTGAAGGTGGCTTATACGACTCAAATAAATATCCCGATGTTCAAATACCTGGAATGATTGGATGTTGCTTACCAATCGAATCATTGAAATATTCAACATTAGAATGTTTTTATGAGGAATCCTGTTTGGATATAATAGATCTGTATACCACTCATCCGTCAATTTCAACGAGCGATTTCCCGATATTAAAACACGATTTATCAGCAAAATCTATAACAATCGAAGAATTAATCAAAAAATCATTTGTAAAACAATGGATTAATATCACATCATATGAGAAATATTTTATTTACTGTCAACCTTTATCTTGTCAATATAATGCTGGAGAAGGGAAAAGTCTTTTTTATATATTTACAACAACTATTAGTTTATTTGGTGGATTAAAATTGATTCTCCCAGTTATTGTATTATACATTGTGGCATATATTCGAGAGGAATAACAACAACAACAACGATCGACAGAGAATATTGATAACGATAGTGTTGCAAGTAAGTTGTTCTACCTGAAAAAATAAGTCGAGTGCTTGAATTTGCGAAAGTCAATCTCAAGTTACAATATCATCGACATCTGTTTCAATAAATTTTTTTTGTCTTTCAGCGTTGATAAGAACTCGTTTATCAGCATTATTAAAAATGGTGAAGATTTTCATTTTAAAATGGAATATATTTAATAGTTATTCAACAGATGAATATAAAGAAAAAAATGAAATTTTATCAACAAGAATTTATATCATTGTATTATTTTTATCTCTAACACTTTTTTGTAGTTTTCTTTCATTTGAAAAACAAATCAAAACCATATCTTTTTCGAATCCATCACAGACTCAATTCGATGAATTACAAAATAATTCCTTAGATCAACTTCAATGTCCCTGTACACAAATCTCAGTTAAATACTCGGAATTTATTCAATTTCGTCCAACTTATCATCAGATATGTTCCAGTATATTTGTTTCATCAGATTGGGATAAATGGGGTATGAACTGGAAAGGACAGGGTCCGTGCTCTTCTTCTGATTTTATTAATCAAGCACACAATTATTTTTATCTTTTATCAGAGTATTGTCAATTATCACAAGACCTTGTATTAAAGGAGTTAGAACAGTTTTATGTAATGCAATATATAACATCTGGTGTTATTCAATTCAAACAATTTAACAGTGAAATTAAATCACTTATTGAAAATTTCAAAGTAAAAACACAAAAATCGTTGAAAACACAATTAAATATTATTCAAAGTGTTATTTTTAATAATCAACTTCTATCTCATTTAAGAATTGGTATGAGTTATCAAATTCAATGTTGTAATACTATACTACGGTCAAACATTTACCGATGAATTATGACAATTGTTCATGTGCTACTGATTCAACATGTCATCAAACACATTTTTTCTGTCGTGATACCATTTACACATCTATACCAAATATTTATTCCGGTTGTTACTTCATCGATTCATTGTTATTATCACAAACATCATGTTTTTATGATGAAAAATGTTTAGATATAATCAAGAGACATATGAATCCAAATACTATTCTTTATGAACAAACAGTTCCATTGAATATTTCGATAAAAACTCGGTACAAAACTAATGTAACTATAGAAATATTACTTGATAATTTATTTATTGAAGAATGGAATGATTTTTATTCATATGATAAATATTATCATTCTTGNTTTTTATGATGAAAAATGTTTAGATATAATCAAGAGACATATGAATCCAAATACTATTCTTTATGAACAAACAGTTCCATTGAATATTTCGATAAAAACTCGGTACAAAACTAATGTAACTATAGAAATATTAGTTGATAATTTATTTATTGAAGAATGGAATGATTTTTATTCATATGATAAATATTATCATTCTTGTCAACCATCATTTTGTTCATATGAAATTCAACAACGACGAAATTCGATTTCTATACTAACAGAAATCATTGGTATATATTCAGGATTAACGATTATCATTAGATTTCTAATACCAAATCTTGTTCGTTTGATTCGAAGAAGACAAAGACATGTTCAAGTTACTACAACATTCGATCGATTAAATATTCTTTTTCAATTATGTAAAACTAAATTACTTGAGTTGAATTTATTTCGAAATCGATCAACTGATTATCATACAGTACGAAAACAACTCATAAGCACACGTTCATATTTAATTACTTTCATCCTTATTTTATCTCTTTGTATTTTATACACATCATTAACTAACAAACTCATTACTGTTAAATTTCAATTCAAAGATTTAAAACAATATGAACAATTATACAATAAATATCCAAACACGTTAACTTGTTCATGTAATGAACTATCAATAAAATATGAAGAATTTATTCAACTAACACCAATTTATCATGAAATTTGTTCATCAGATTTTGTTCAACAAGAATGGATTGATTATTTATCAGTTAAAGCAAATATCAATGATCGTAACTTTCAGGCCACAGGATCATTTCAATTTCAATCTGTAAGATCATTATGTCGATTAATAGAAGAAACAGTGGATTTCAGTTTAACACAACTTTACTCAACAATATTTGTCAGTAATCAATTGATATCGAGAGATTTATTTCAGAATAGAATCGATAATACTGTGGATTTATTTATAAAATCTACAGAACAAAGATTCAAACACATATTTCAAACTATTCGTGAACTATTTCATGGAAGTGCAGTATTAACAACTCATCAAACAAATTGGGAGTATGACATTTTATTAAATAAATTGAATGAATACGTATATTAGCGTTGTCTTCGCTCGAGAGACGAAACTCAATCTGTTTATTCGAAAACAGAACAAAGAAGAATGTAGAAGAACGATAAGAGAAAACAGATGGAGAATGATGTGAAGGTATNTTCGATTGAAATTATCATATATATCCAGATCAATCAAGAGGAACTTAACTACTATCGGTTTCCGAAGCATACTGATTATTAGCGTTGTCTTCGCTCGAGAGACGAAACTCAATCTGTTTATTCGAAAACAGAACAAAGAAGAATGTAGAAGAACGATAAGAGAAAACAGATGGAGAATGATGTGAAGGTATGTTATGAACATGCCTGTAACAACGTATTTTATACAAAAGCCATAACATATAATAACAGATCATGTACATGTGCAACTTCATTACATTGTGTAGAAGCAGCAACACTTAATGGTATATCTATTAATGGTTTATTCACTGGTTGTTATCCAGTTGAATCTATGTTACTTTCTTCATTTGAGTGTTTATATAATAAAACATGTGTAGACTTTATTTTATCAAATATCAGACAGAAGTTGCCTATGATTGAAATGAAAGTTTTACAATTAAAAACGAATTTTGGTATAAATGAAACTGTTCAACATATGACTGATCGATTATTTGTTAATGAGTGGAATCGAAATTACTCGTATCTGAATTATTCGAAAAAGTGTCGTTCAACAGATTGTACTTATTCATTTATACAGAAATTTAATCCATTATATATAATAACAACAATTTTAAATTTATATGGATGTGTAACAACTTTATTAAGTTCTTTAATTCCAATTTTCGTTGAGATTATTTTTCGAATATATGATAGAAGAACACAAATGGTTATTACACCAGCCGTACCTGTGGAAAACTGAATTCAATATAAAATTAACATTTAGATTTGCTTGCGTGTTCATGTTTCATTGATTGATTGCAAAATAAAATGAGATTAAAAGAAGAGAGTTTTTTTCTTCAAATTCTATCAGAATCCGATCATGACTAACGACAGTTAGTGGGTGAGGCTGTGGGTGAGACAGAGATCATGAACTGAGACTCCACTTACACCTTTACTCTTATCAACAGTTCCTCTCGTTTTTGGATAAATCTCTGTCGAAATTCTGTTGAAAATAGACAATAAAATATCCAGCAAAAATAATTCTGACGTTAGTTCACGTAAATTTCGATAATTTTGTCTAACTTTTGAAGAATTTGAACATTGACGAAATTCCTTTTGACGGAATTTAGTTTAAGCGGATTAAACGCCAATGTTCAAGATACATAAAGTATAGACAAACGAAAAAGCGCTAATATTTGGCATCTATAGAGTGAGAGTGTGGATGCTACTAGATTATACAGTTATCTATACCGTTCTACCCTTAATAATTCTAATAGACTTTTGTCGTCATATTGAAGAATTTCAAAATTTACACGATGCTGATCGATTTATATTAATGAAATACAATTTACTCTCACTTTTTACTTTATCGAAATGTTGTTCCCTTGAAGATACTATCTTTGCTCAAAAGCATTGTCAATTCTTTAATTTATGTGATGATTCATATAGTGTTCGAGATACATTTGTAAAATCAGTTATGACATTGGTAGAAATAACGTCACAAAGATCCATCAATGTGGAGAAGATAAAAATTATAAATATTTGACTCGTTCAATAAATGTTATTATTCAAATACAATCAACTGGTGGGATCTATCGAAAATTTCTTTGTGTATACGGAACCTGATGTTGCTGATAGAATAGTGCCATTGATACAAATTGTATTACATATTTCAATTAAAATTCAGCAGAAAAAAAAACATCTTTTAGTTTTCATTTATATTTTAGTTCGAGTTTATTTAAGAAAATCTTAAAAATAGCATAGACTTGCATCATCTGTGCTTGCAATGATGACTCATTTAAGTGTCAAAGAAAAAGAGAGAAAAGAAGAAAAAAAAAGTAACGTACTGTGTTTTTTATTCGCTTTCAAGGCTGAAACGATGTTTGTTTTTTTTCCTTTCTGCTTCTTGTAGCTGTTTTCATCATTTAAAAACAACTCGCATTGTTGTATAATCATTTATAGAAAAAGAAAGTTATGAGTACACAAACGAAAATGATTATTATTACGTCTGATGAAGACTTANATGACCCTTAGAAAATCCAGGAAATCCATGTTTCGGTTCCGACGAGATCCGACGTGGGATCCGATCGGATCCGAGACCGTCGGAATCCAATGCGATTCCGTCACCAGGATTGCATCGGATCCGTCGAATTCCTGTAGGATCCGGTAAAATTCAGTATTGGATCCGATAGGATTCGATGGGATCCGGTGGGATCCGAGTATGGGATTGTTCGACCTGGGTAGTCCAACATAATGCGCAATACATTGATTGAAATAATTCGTGCTACAATTGTCATGATTGGAACAATCATAGGTCCACATTATAGATCGACTACTATGTTCTTTTTTCATAGAAAATTCACCGAATGCTCTAATACTGGCATCGAAATCAGTATCCGTTTGATTATCATATTCGAATAGGACATCCGCTTTTTATTTTATATAATCAATTACAAATTTAAATGAACATTTCCTAGATGAAACGTAAGTTTCACAAGTTGATGGTATGGTAAATGAACCGTTAAAATAAAATTCAAAGACGCACTCCTAGAGACAATTTATCAGCTTCGATTTCACCAAGAGTCTACGATGTGAATCATTTTCCTAATTGATTAACGAATTATTATCGGTGAGGGCGACGTTAGTCAATACCAACAAGATAATTGCATAATACAACATATTAGTATAGAACTGTGAAAAGAAACAAAATGGTAAAAGCATTTATATACGAGTGACGACATCTAATAACAACAATAATAAAAGACCACAGCACATTCACGTATAGATGATAACGTCTTAAACATTTTCTGCTTTATCATTATATTATAATTTGTAATGTAATTATCTTTTGGATGTACTGCTAGTTCTTTTTTTCTTCTGCGCACTGGAGGGTTGAAGATATGGATGTCGACATACTATTATTCGTAAGTCATATTCTTGAAGAAATTAAAAAAATTCTTTTTTAAAGACATGCTGCGCTTTTTTTCTCTTTATATGAATGTATTTTAGTTGCCATGAAAAACTGCTTCGAAACCTACATCTTTGATTGAAAAGAATTTGATCTATTTATCAAAAGTGTTTTCTAGGCCATAATGACATTTCGATATGAAAAAACTGAAATAAAGCTTTGCCGTAGAAGTACGTATGGAGTTCTATAGGTTCATCGAAATTGGCTTTTTTCAACATAGTTCTATGGAATAAATTTGATTGCGTCGTCGTTGAAAATCTTGACGATGAAATGCATGAATGAGAGCTAAGTCTACACTCTCATCGTTAATTTGAGAACTTCGAATTTTGATGAAGCATGGAGAAATTCACACAGACGCAGACGCGCTGAACATTTTATATATAAATGGAAGTTTTTATCAAAAGAAACCTTTTACTCTTAATTTCATTGATCTTTGAAATACATAGTGCATGAAAAGTTAATTGAATCGTAACTAATCCGATACGAAAGTATGCCTTTTTGTTTGTAATATTATTTTATAGAAACAGAGGTTAAAAAGATCTACTTCTAAGAAGATATATATACAATAGGTATCTTAAAATGTGCGATTTTCCGAAGTTTTATTCTATTACATTGCAGAAAGACAAAAACACTCATGATTCACAATGAAGAGATATTTTAGTATCTATTTGATGTTATTTCTCTCCGTCTAACTGAGATTATTATTCCTTTTCTTTTCTCATATATTTCATCTAAAAGCTTGAAGCATCACATAATTTATTTTGAACCTTGGCTTTAATACCCAGTGGGTGAGGGTGTGGGTGAGACAGAGATCATGGACTGAGACTTCACTTACACCTTTACTCTTATCAACACTTCCTCTCGTTTTTGAATAAATCTCTGTTGAAAAATAGACAATAAAATATCCAACAAAAATAATTCTGTCGTTAGTTCACATAAATTTCGATAATTTTGTCTATCTTTTGAAGAATTTCAAAATTTACACTATGCTGATCGATTTATATTAATGAAATACAGTTTACTCTCACTTTTTACCTTATCGAAATTTTGCTCTCGTGAATGTACTATCTTTGCTCAAAAACATCGTCAATTCTTTAATTTATGTGATGATTCATATAGTGTTCGAGATACATTTGTAAAGTCAGTTATGACATTGGTAGAAATAACATCACAAAGATCCATCAATGTGGAGAAGATAAAAATTATAAATATTTGACTCGTTCAATGAATGTTACTATTCAAATACAATCAACTGGTGGGATCTATCGAGAGTTTCTTCGTGTATACGGAACCTGATGTTGCTGATAGAATAGTACTATTGATACAAATTGTATTACATATTTCAATAAAAATTCAGCAGAAAAAAAACCATCTTTTAGCTTTCATTTATTTTAGTTCGAGTTTATTTAAGAAAATCTTAAAAATAGCATAGACTTGCATCATCTGTGCTTGCAACGACGACTCATTTAAGTGTCAAAGAAAAACAGAGGAAAGAAGAAAAAAAAGTAACGTACGATGTTTTTTTATTCGCTTTCAAGGCTGAAACGGTGTTTGTTTTTTTCCTTTCTGCTTCTTGTAGTTGTTTTCGTCATTTAAAAATACTCACATTGTTGTATCATCATTTATAGAAAAAGAAAGTTATGAGTGCACAAACGAAAATGATTATTATTACGTCTGATGAAGACTTAATTCGTCAAATCGCATTACATAAAAAAGCAAGTACACATATCATGGAATTAGATCATCCAAATGAAATTTCATCGACAAATTCAAATACAACTGATATGATGGATTTAACTTTTCTTGCGGAATTTTCTACAATTGTTCGTATTTTTTCTTGATAAAGACTTTATGATTTAAATATATTTTTTTCTCTAGCATCCAAAAAGTGATGGAGTATATAAAAGAGCACTTAATTCTTCTCGTCAAACTCGATTAAAACAAACGAAATCTGCAAAGAAATCAGTAGACTTAGTTTGTGCTATTTGTTGCGATCGTGCTGTTGGATTTAATTATAATGTTCTGTCTTGTGCATCATGTAAAGCATTTTTTCATCGCAATGCTCATCAACCTCGAGTAAATTTTGTTGTCTCAATCGTATTGTTATATTTCCGAGTATTTTCTAGGAAAAATTTCGATGTATTTCAACTCAAGGGCGATGTTCAGTGGCTCATGGCGTTCAGCGAAGATGTACTCGATGTCGCTTAGATCGTTGTTTTGCAGTTGGAATGAGAAAAGATTTTATTTGGAGTGAAGAAGAAAAACAACGACGTAAAAAAAATCTTGAAGAAAATCGAAATATTACACTACAACAATCTTCAACACCGACAGTTGCATCTACCACTAACGAACCAGTTGATGATTTTGATTGTGTAAGCTTTTATCGGTTCATTTTTATAGAAAAATATTCGCTTTGTTTAGTTATTATTAGAATTAGATCAAACAAAAAGTGAAGATTCACTTGGAATGGATAATACTCTCTTTGGAACATTATCGATTGAAGATTGGCTTACAATTGAAAATGTTCGATCATCATTTTTATCAACATTTCAAAATCTAAATCGAAGTTTATTTACTATCGATACATCTGATCAAAATTCAGCTCTTATTTCATGGTCACACAATACCAATCAACTTGCTTTAACATTCATTAATTTCTTTCGTCAAATTGATGAATTTGAAAATCTCAATGATAATAATGATCGACTTTTATTAATCAAATTTAATCTTTTAACTATTTCTGGAATATTTAAATGTTACATTATTAGAACACAAAGTATTCACTCTACATTAGCGGTGGGAGAAGAAATACATCGTCGATTTAATAAATTATGGGGCGATTCAAGTAATACTCTAACTAGTTTCGCTGAAGCAATACTTGCACTTATAGAACTAGTTGAACAAGATCCATCAATCTTATCACTTTTTCTTATAATTCTTCTTTTTACTGATCGATTATCTATGAATGAAGAACAACCATCATTGAACGATTCATTAGCTGTTAGTCGAGTTCAAAGTCATTATATAAGAATTCTTTGGAATTATATAATTAATAAAAAAGGTGAAAATCATGTTTATAAATACTTTAATCAATTATTAACTGTTATCTTTCGAATTCAAAAAATCTCGTGTAAAGCTCGAAATATTTTTCGTACGAGACTTATTACATCAAATATTGTGGATCAAATTGCACCACTTATGCAAACAGTTTTAAATATTTAGTAGATTATTTCTCTTTTTTTTGTTTTTAAATTTCAAATAGAATATCTGATCTTATCGATCGGTTCTCAACGTCGTGATCAAAACATTATCATTTTAATTAAGAAATAAACTAATCATCAATACATACTGTATAAATAAAACACAAGTAACGCTCATCCTTTGGATTCGCTGACCTTTTTCTGAAAGAAAAATACATCATTCTTAGTGTGACAGAATTTATCTAGCTTTAATCGGACGTTTGATTTTAAAAATGGGCTTGAGATAGAAATGTAATCAATCAAGATAATAATACAATATGCAAAATGAGCAAAAATAGGAAGATTTTTTTCTTTTATTATACCTCATCAAAAGTGATTTGACATGTGCTAATAGCACCAAAACAGAAAACTAGCGAAAATCGATATTATTTGAAATGAAAAGTTTATAAATGTCGACAAAAGAAATATTGATAATAAACATTCACGGTAAAAGGAAGTTCCTTAGTCTCATTTCCATATCTTCCGCTTGTAGTCTCGGTTTTGTCCGTTTTCAATATTTTTCCGAAATAAATAAGAATGAACCAGATGAACATGTCTATAC